TAAAAGATTGCATTAAATAGTTTTTCAATTATGTCATGAGAAAAAATTAATAAGAACACCTCAATAATAATAATTAATTAAAAATATTTCATCATGTAATATATTTTATTCTTAATTAATCTTTGTATCTATATGTATCTATGTATGTTATTTTGAGACCTTTTATTTTCAATTCAATAAACTACTATTGCACATTTAGATTAATTTCTAAACTTAATGGTTACTTCTCTCTTTTTGGCCTTTATAGTTATATTTCTTAGATGACATTTTTTTTTTCATTATCTTTCTCCATGCCCTTCCATATTCCTACCTACCTATATATAAAGGTTAAATGTCAATTTTGGTCCTTTCACTTTAGGCTTTTGCACAATTGTTATTTGTTAACTTTTTTATGCACTTTTTTATCTTTCAACTATGAAAAATACATTTTTTAAGTCCTTTTATTTGTTAGTTTGTTAAATATATTTAAATATACATATTTTTAGTCCTTTAACTTATAATATATACACATTTTTTGTCTCTTAACTTATAATATATAATATAAAGTTCAGGGCTAAAAAATGTGTATATTTGGACATACTTAATAGACTAATTGATAGATGGACTAAAAAACTGCATTTTTTTCATAGTTGAGGGTCACAAAAGTGCATAAAAAATTTTGAGATGAAAACTATGAAAAACCCTAAAGTTGAGGAACTAAAATTGGTATTTAACCATATATAGACCTTGAACTACATTTCTCTACATTAATGTATCATAATTTCCTCTTTATCTCTAAAATATGTATAGTGTTGTATGAACTATGTTCTCTACTAGTTTTATTATTTTTTCATGATTTTTTTTATAAAACATATGATGATTATTTTTTTAAAGAATTTTATAACTCTATCTTTTTGAAATTTATTCATCCATTTCTTTTTAGATTATAAATGGTTTGAAACTTTTTTTCCTTGTGTGTGTCAGGGAGAGAACCCTACTTATGGGATGGGAATCAATCAGAGTAATGATAGTATTAATTCATACAATGAATTGAACAAAAAAAGCATGAATTGAATAAAAAATCAAGTCATATCAAAATATTGTGTTTTTTTTAGCAAGAAATATTATATTTTTTATTTTATTTATATTATACTATTATTAACTTTTTGGTGATTTTAAATATAAATTTTACTTCATATTCCTTCTAAAATGATGAAAAGGGCAAATCAGCCCTTACACTCTTTAAATGGTGGCAAATTAGCCCTTGTACTAAAAACGGAGGCTTTTAAAACCTTGAACTCTTCGAATGGTGGCAAATATCCCCTTTTGTGACAGATTTGGTGAAATTTAACGGATAACTCGTTTTGGTGGGTCCATGGCTAATGCTTGCATTGCATTTGTTTAAGGGGGAAAAATAATTTAACAATAATTTTTTTATGTAATTTTATATGTTACTTAAATAATTATTTTTTTATTAATTTAAAATCCATAATATTACATTCATTTAATTATTTAATTATAAGTAAAAGTTATATATAAGAATATTACTATCACCATTCTTGTTTTGCGTGGCAGTGACTTGGATTTTTTTAGTTGACATGGCATAGAAAGTGAGTCCTATAATAATTTTAATGAATAAAAATAAAAGAGAAAGAAACCTCTTTTTAAGCTTTATATATTTCCGGAATAAAAAAAAAGGCCTTTTACGGCACCTTCTATCACCATGGTTTACACTAAAATTACACTAAAATAGTATTTGGAACACCCTTCCTTATGATGGTTTGAGTTGGAAAAAGGCATCACAATTAAGGGTTTTTTTTTTTTTTTCTCTCTCTCTTTTGGTATTGAGTATTCTTATCAATTAGCAAAGGCAATCTCAAACATAGCTTTAATTTCATAATTTTAATTTTTTTCCTAAAAAATTATTATAAAATTCAAGAATTGATAAAACATGGTATAGAATTCAAACTCTAACATGAAGAATGAAAGAATAACTCATGCAACACATGTGAAAAAAAAAAAAGAAAAGAAAAACCTAGTTTTTAATATAATTAGACTACGTAATTGAAGCCTATTTGCTATGTATTTGAGATTTTAGTGTGAATAAAATTAATAAAAACTCAAATTCAATTAATATTTGATGTATTGTAATACTTAATAAATGTTAGATTTGAAATATTTTTTAATAGTAAATATTTCCTTAAAAAGACCTGTTGTGTATTGATCAAGCTTTTAAGACAGCATTTTTTCTACCAGTGTTTCATAGAAATGCTAGCATTTTTTTAGCTATCCATAAAAATGCTGGCACTAATCAATCTAGTTTCCAATCGATCCTATCAACATATTAAAGACAAATTTGTTTATAAGCAACTCCAAAATAAAACCATACCAAACACAGTCTAATGAAAGATGAATATTTTTATTATTTTTAAGGAATTGAACAATCTTAAAACCAAGGTTTATTTTCCATATATTTGGTTTATTTTTTACCCAATTTTTGCATATTTGGTTTACTCATCAAAAGAGATCTAAAGATTTCACTCTTAATTTCATGGCACCTTCTTTTGTACTTCTGGCTGCTTGGGTGAGATTTCTTCAAATAATTTAGCTAGAAAAGCATCACATTCACACTCACCACCTATAAAAGGATTGCATCCGCACGCTGGATAAAGGCAATCATCGCTTGTGTTGCAAGGCCGTCCTATGGGTAAATCAATTTCTTCAAGTAATCTAGCCGGAGAAGCATCACATTCACATATACCACCTGTAAAAGTATTGAATCCGTAAAATGGGAAATAAGGGCAATTAGAGTCTCTTTTGCAATCTCTTGCTTTTGTTATAGCCTATAGACCTACAGTAAGATTCTATTAATTATAAGAAAAATATTTGATACATCTTCTCACTCAATATACCTATTAACATTCATTGCTTTAGTAATTAAAATTTGAAACATTAATTTTTCTCATTTATAATTCAAATTTAAAAACAATAATTTCTTAATGAGTAAAGCTTTAAGTTTTCTTACTTTTAATTTAAATTTAAAAATAATAATTTTTTAATAAGTGTATTATAAAAAATATTGAATTGGAGGGTGTTTGTATCAGTCTTTTAACAAAAAAAACTCAAAAATATCGTGTATTTAAATGTGTTACGAAAAATGCATAGCAAAAATGATGCTTACCAAGTAAAAACATCAATAGTGCAGTGCACCTAAGAAAACCAATTTGAACGAAAGCTTCTCCATATTTTTTCTTTAGGAAGTTGGGGTCGTTGT